TGTACTGTAGTATACAGTATAATATCATATAGTGTACTGTAGTATATAGTACAATATTATGTAGTATAGTACAGTATACGATACAATATTATGTAATATAGTACAGTATACAGTACAATATTATATAGTATAGTACAGTATACGATACAATATTGTGTATTATAGTACAGTATACAGTACAATATTATATAGTATACAGTGCAATATTATATAGTATACTCTAGTATACAGTACAATATTATATAGTATAGTACAGTATACAGTACGATATTATATAGTATGGTACATTATACAGTGCAATATTATATAGTACACTCTAGTATACAGTACAATATTATATAGTATAGTACAGTATACAGTACAGTATTATATAGTATACTACAGTATACAGTATAATATTATACAGTTTACTCTAGTATACAGTGCAATGTATTATATAGTATACTCTAGTATACAGTACAATATTATATAGTGTAGTACAGTATATATTACAATATTATATAGCCTACTCTAGTATACAGTGCAATATTATATAGTATACTCTAGTATACAGTACAATATTATATAGTATAGTACAGTACAGTATTATATAGTATACTACAGTATACAGTACAGTATTATATAGTATACTTCAGTATACAGTATAGTATAGTTACAGTACAGTATTATACTACAGTACAGTATTATATAGTATACTACAGTATACAATACAATATTATACATTATACTCTAGTATACAGTATAGTATTATATAGTATACTCTAGTATACAGTACAATATTATATAGTATACTATAGTATGCAGTACAATGTTATACAGTATACTCTAGTATACAGTACAATATTATGTAGTATACAGTACAATATTATGTAGTATACAGTACAATAATTTCATTGAGGGTTATGTCTCCAAAGAGAACTGCTACTCGTGGAATACACGTATCTAGTTTTCAATGGAAACATAAATCATCGTCACAACGTCGTCGATTACAATTACGAGAAAATGGGAGAAAAAGGGAGACCGTAAACTGGAATTGACGTGTTGCAGAAGGGAGGGAGGCACCCTGTGATGGGTGTTCAGAAAATAAGGAAAGTTTTTCGTTGCGATTGAACCGTTACCCTCCGGTCGCGATAAGGAAGAACGAGGGCCAGAAGAAACATCTTTTTCTTCCTCCGGTGCCAGTTTTCTGCATTCACTTCTTCCCTCGGACTAGAAAATTTTTTCCCTCTCTCTCTCTTTCTCTCTCTCTCACTTTCGTTTTTTCCTCTCCCCTTCTTTTCCCGCGCGCAAAGTCCCGCACAAAGTCAGGCGTTTCATTTCGTTAAGAGGAGTATGCGTGTTGGGGGTTCCGATTCAAAGGCACCTGGTTTCCCCAGTCGATAAATTGTCAGAGAGACTCTCCCCTTCTTATCTCTCTCTCTCTCTCTCTCGGCACTATCCCCTGTGTTCTCACCTCGCCGTACCTTTTTCTTTCCCGTTCAGTGACTTTTAGGAAGTCCTACGGTGAACTCTCGAACGTTGAGGCCTTTCTGATCGCGTGCTAGAGTAATTATCGTGAACAACGTTGCGTCCCTCCTCGTCGAGGGGAATGGCATTCTCTGTTCTGCTTTCGTCGCACCACGAAATTCTTGCAACAGTTTCGGTTTCCCCGCAAATTCGCCGACGAAGTACACTCTTGCTCCCACGAAATTTTATTCGCTGCGAAATGAATTTCGAGGTTTCAGAGCGAGTCGCTCAAATCTCGAGCATTTTTATCATTTATCAATAAACTATGACATTCAGTCACTTTTCGTATAGATTCTTTGAAAGTTTAGCGAAGGGCTTCATAAAAATTCGTAGAAACAAAGAGTATTCTCAACACACGTGAGAAGAGATTTTTGTATTTTTAGGTGAAAAGTATTTTTTCGTATCTAAAAAAAAATTTTATTGGCGAATATGCGAGTAAAATAGAAGTATATTACATATATAGGGTGGATCCAAAGATTCGCCCCACTTATGTTTTCATTAACAAAACATTAAAATGTAAGAGAGAAAGAATAATTTTATCGATCTCAAGTTAAATTTAAGTTCAAACATGATTATTATTCGCAAAATGACGGATTTATTTTACTCCGGGAGTGACTTTTAAGCCCGCTCTATATCAAGTAAAGAAGTCGACACACAATTCGTAACAATTCGTATACGATTACTTACATTAGATGCTTCAAATGTGTCTTCTGATATTGCAGAATATTACAGCGCACGTTCCACACGTATGAATAATGCGTCACGAAAGATTACAGAGACGACGGATTCATTTGTTTCCGCCGCCAGCTCACTAGCTACGTCTCTATTGTAAATTACAATTATCGCTGATAAGTTGCAACGCTTGATAACACAGAGACAAACCGGTAGGGGGGACAGCGAAATTAGTCACGGGGACGAAATTCCATATCACGATTCTACTTTATCTCTCGACAACGTCCTTATTATTCTTGGATCTTTCTAACGTGCAATTTCAGCTAAACAATTCAGTTGCTCATCGCTCACAGTATCAATTGTTCTGAACCCGCGACGAGTCACGGTCGCGTGCAGGCAGACGTTCGATCCGCTGCGAGTTTGAATAGCGATAACCGGTGGCAATTATCCCAGAGTTGAAAGGTGTGTCGTTGGCTGGCAATTAATGTAAAACAGTCGGCGCGGTCACGCTAAACGTCGTTCAGCGTCGTCCGCGAAAAACGCTGGCTGCCCTTTGATTCAACGCCGGCCTTCGTCTTTAGACTTTTCGCTTCGAGCGGTTCCGCTTTGCAACGCGAGTCCTGTTATCCCGTGAGTCCGGTAACGCGCGACTTGCGCGATAACGAGGCAGAAATTCCGAAACTTCACGCTTCAATGGTATTCTGAAATTAATACCACCGCGCGCGCATTCTTCCTCGTGGTTGAGAAGCGCAAACTCGACAACGGAGCCAGCCGTTTTCACGTTTCGTTTTTCTGTCGCCAGTAATGGAAACTTCTTGGTGGAAGGACATCGATGTTAAATGGTTTTATTATGTTACGTCAGAGGTGGCGAACTGGCGGCCCGTGTCACTGCTTCTTTGGCCTATCCCCTCCACTGCATCCACTCCCACCACCGCATCTATCCCCTCCACTTTAGTTTTGATTAGGCTTTGACTCACAATTAGTTAAACCCTCTATGGGCCCGTGTAACTTTCAGTTCACATGCTAATATATATCGACATTTTACCAACTAATTTTAGTTTTTTACACAAGATGACGTGTACGTCTTAATTATATAATGTCTCTGAGATAGCTCATAACAATATTGATGACGGTTTGCAGCACCATCAACCTGAAATAATAATAATAATAATTATTTAAAATTTTTTAAACTGGTAAAGTTTTTTTTTAATCTGCATATATAGGTTTATAATTGTTGATTTTCATAAATTGCATAAGTTTTTTTATATTCAAGAAGAAAATTCGGCCGACAGAGGGTTAAGTCTCTTGCGCTGGAATGACGTGACACGCATGTCGAGAATTTTTTTTTAGTCCCAAAATTGCAATATTTCTTCAGTCTTCGCTGAAGTATAACCCAGGCAAAACAAATAATAAATTTGTTAAATTACTTTTCAATAATTTCGGTCCGACGAATTCGAAAAGAAAGCGACGAATTATTGTATACGGTTTGGTCACTCGTTATGGTCCGCAATCAGTTGCCAGCGCAAGTGGCCGAGGACAGAGGTCAAGTTGAGAGGGGGACTTCTTTCTAACACGATGTTTGGCTTTTAATATTTCTTCCAAAATTTCGACTGTTTTCTCACTTTGGGTAAACTTCAACGTAAAGTTCAACGTATCCGGAACGAGTATAGAAAAAAAATTATGATCGTACTTTTTGTTTTAAATTCATTTCGAAATTGATAAAAATTTTTCAATAATTTTCCTCAGAGTATTACAATATTAAACTCGTCTTATAAAAATAAAACTGAAATAAATGTTCAATCGGTATGTTTTACAAAAGTTTTTTTTTTACAGAACTGTATAGTATGTAAAGTATAGTATATAAAGTATATATATGTATATATAGTATATAAAGTATAGTATATAGTTATATACTATGTAAAGTATAGTATATAAAGTATAGTAAGGATAAGCAAAAGAGGAGTTAGGTAATATCGAGGTTAAATTGTTAAGTATAGCATAAAAGTACAGTGTAAGTTAGTGTTAAATTGTTAAGTATAGCACAAAAGTATAGGATAAGTAGAGTATATAACAGATATGAAGAGTGAAGAGCGACAGTGAGAGAAACAAAGAGAATGAAAAAAAAAAGAGAAATGTAAACCAAGTCCACATTCACGGTTGTGAAGCCGAAAAATAAAATTATCTAAATTATCCAAGTATAGTATGTAAAGTAAATTTTACAAAAGTTGAAGATTTCTTATAATATCACAACACATTACGTTACCGATACAAAGTCACTCAGATCTTCACTTTTTTGCATCGAGTCGAACATTGACGCGATAATACGAATCTATCTAATTTATCTTTAACAAAAGTTGAAGATTTGTTATAATATCACATCACATTACGCTACCGATACAAAGTCACTCAGGTCTTCACTTTTCTGCAACGAGTCGAACACTGACGCGATAATACGAATCTATCTAATTTATCTTTAACAAAAGTTGAAGATTTGTTATAATATCACATCACATTACGCTACCGATACAAAGTCACTCAGGTCTTCACTTTTCTGCAACGAGTCGAACACTGACGCGATAATACGAATCTATCTAATTTATCTTTAACAAAAGTTGAAGATTTGTTATAATATCACATCACATTACCGATACAAAGTCACTCAGATCTTCACTTTTCTGCATCGAGTGCATACACTCACGCGATAATACGAATCTATTTAATTTATCTTTAACACTCGAAAACCTTAAAGAAAGTAAAGTTGAAATCAGGCGTTATCGTCGATGATTTATCTAATCAACAGCAAGATAAGAGAGAGAGAGAGAGAGATTAACGTGTGACTTTGCTTCGCAGGTCTGTTCCGCGAGGCTCGAGGAAGACGCCTCCGCGAGGACTCCCGGGCGGAAGGAAGGAGGAGGAACAGACCGCCTGTTGCGTAGCGGTAGAAAACCTAGTAGTAGAGTAAGATGCTAGTCTTCCCGTGCAGCAGCGAGCCGTCGACGACGACGATGCTGTCGCATCAACAGCAACTTCGTCTGCTGCTGTCGATCCTGGTGCTGCTGTCTCCCCGGTTGCCGGTTCGCTCGACGCCGGCCGACATAGTACAAAGGTTCCACGATCCGGAAGTGAAGCGGATGAACCACCTGGTCGTGGACAAGAACACCGGCCGCGTGTACGTGGGCGCGGTGAACCGGCTGTATCAGCTCTCGCCGGACCTGAGCCTCGTGGTGAAGGAGGTGACCGGCCCGAAAGGGGACTCGACCGCCTGCTCGATGATCGACTGCCCCCGGGAAACGCCGACCAGGCTGGTCGACAACGTGAACAAGGCGTTGGTGATCGACTACACGACCACCAGGCTGATCTCGTGCGGTAGCCTGTCGCAGGGCACCTGCCGCGTGCGGAATCTTCACAACATCTCGGACGTGGTGCAAGAGGTGAAGGAGGCCGTGGTGGCGAACAACGCAACGGCCTCGACGGTGGCGTTCATCGCGCCCGGTCCGCCGAACCCGCCGGTCTCTCAAGTGATGTACGTCGGCGTGACATTCACCGGGAACTCGCCCTACCGGTCGGAGGTGCCCGCCGTCAGCTCCAGATCGCTGGACAAGGACAGGATGTTGAACATCGCGGAGGCGGCCGTCACCACCGGGACAAGGATGTACGTGAACTCGTTGTCCCGGGAACGATACCCGATCAACTACGTGTACGGGTTCAGCAGCGGTGGATTCAGCTACTTCATGACCACCCAGATGAAGAACACCGACACCGCGGTGTTCATCTCGAAGCTTGTACGCGTCTGCCACGACGACGAGCATTACTACTCGTACACGGAGATACCGATCAACTGCACCAACGACGGCACCTACTACAACCTGGTGCAGGCGGCGTACGTCGGCAAGGCCGGCTCGGTGCTTGCCGGCGATTTGGGCATCACCGCCCAGGACGACGTGCTGTTCGCCGTGTTCTCCGAGAGCAACAGCACCAACAGCGACGTGCCCAAGAACCATTCGGCCCTCTGCGTCTACTCGTTGAAGGCCATCAGGAGGAAGTTCATGACCAACATACAAAAGTGTTTCAGCGGCGAGGGCCACCGGGGTTTGGAGTACATCTCCCCGAGTCACAAGTGCATCTTAACGGTGAGTTTTCTTTCAAACTCTTTCTCTTTTTACGATCGACTTTCGACATCGTTCGCACACGCGTCGAGCATTATATAACAGCAGCTGACGTTGACTTTGAAAGTGTTTGAGCGATTTTCCACGAATCGGATCTTCTCGGCCGGAATCGTAAAAATGCAATAGCTTTCGGGAACACGTGTTACGCCAAATGCGAGTAAACGGTGAATAAAATCTTTCCATCGCCTTCGAAGGTCGTTTGCTTCGAGCTTGTTGCTCGCAACTTGCATGTAACAGTCGCGTCTCGCGATCTCTCTCTCTCTCATTTCTCTCCTCTGTTTGAATTAAATCGCTGCGAATCCACGGCCAGAAGAGGGAGGAGAAACGAGTTGAACGATAAAAGCGGCGCGTTGTTGGTGATGCACGATGAAAAGTCTGTTGCGAGTTGAAGTACGCTCTCTCTCGTGCACGGAAAGGCAGCACGCACGTTCCGTCGTTCGATTCTTAATGGAGCTAGCTATCTTCGTGAAGTATCCGGATAGCCAAGTGAGTCTTGCGTGGTATTTGAGACTGGCGTTAGTTAATTCCAGTAACGAAACGATTTGTAACTCACGTTCACCAAAATGGCGGAGAACCGGAGGAAAGACATTATTCGAGATGATACGTCGGCAGGAAAAGATATTTCGAGGTTAAGAAAGATATTTAATTCAGTATCAGCTTTGAAAGAGTCATTTCTCGCAGCTGGAAATTATTGTTAGTTCAAAGAACGAGCCTACTACTTTATTATTGCGCAGAAATAAAGACACTTTTCTTTTTTTATTTATTATTTATATATTTGTAAATTATTGTAATATTATTATATATTTATAAATTATTACAATAATATATTTATATATTTATAAATTATTGTATATTTAAAAAATTTTTTTCTAATTTTTTATAAATTATATTTATTATTCGGAAGAAATAATTTCCCGAAAACGTAATGAAAAGAAATCATGTTTGAATTTAAATATATTTTAATTAACGATTAGTTTTTCCTCGTAGTTTGAAGTTTTTCCTGGAAAAAAAAGTAAATTATTATTATTATTTGTCGCTGAAATATTTTTTTTATTTTAGTTTTTATTTTTTACAAATTATATTTATTATTTGTCGCTGAAATATAACTTACCTTAATACGACCATAATAGATATAAAGAGTGGGCCGAAAATCACTTCCCAGTAACATAAATCCGCAATTTTTTCATCGTACATTTCTCTTTAACATTTGGAAGAAATAATTTCCCAGAAACGTAATGAAAAGAAATCATGTTTGAATTTAAATATCTTTTAATTTGAAAAATTAGTTTGATGTTTTACTGAAAAAAAAAAAATAAATAAATAAATAAATAACCAACGATTCTTCGCATTTTTTACTTACCAGCGAATGAAAATTAGAGTAGGCTAATCAGTATAGTAATTAGAAAACGGTGCAAAAGGAAATGTACATCATTTCTCTCAACGATCGGTATCAACGACCGAAACGATACTGAAACTGACAGTTACGAGGGTTTCGGACCGTTCGAATTATTAATCGCGGCTTTTCGCGTTAATCTCGTCCCGCTCAGTTGTTTTCGCGTTTCGCCGAAATATCGCGAATATTGCGAGATCGAAAAACACATTGGTATATACATGTGTCCGCCAGCCTCGCGTTTGGTAGCCGGTTACAGCCTGCGACACAAAAATAATTGGACACGGCTTAACTCCGAAAGCCTCTCCCCCGCGAATTAATAATTCCGCGCGTGTAACGTGTAGTCGTGAAATCGGCTTCCGCGGTTTGCGCTTTTAATTTATCAAAAGCGCGCTTCGCCGGCGTCTGCAAAATTAAAACGAGCATTAATAATTAATTAACACGGGTTGCGCAACCTTGCCCGCACTTACGATATTGAAAATCGGCGATTCGGGCGAAATTACCGCGCGAAAAGCGAGATACTCTCTGTGTGAACGATGTCCCTCGGTAAGTTTGCATCGAGGTAGCTGTTGTTTATTTCTTTCCTTCGTATCTGAAATCATAGCTCGAGATCCATAAGTAAAAGTACTTTAGGAGGTTCATACAATGCTTTTCAGAGTCGATCCTTTTTTTTTTCATTATGCTAGAGAGAATTGTTCTTTCGTTAACTGCCAATGCGTGAAAAACATCATTTTCTTTGCATATTGCGCAATTGTATCGATCGTAAAAAATTTGGCCGTCGGTGCAACAGTCAATTTAATCTCATTTTAAAACGTGAAAAGTGTCTGAGTTTTTTCTTTTTTTTCTTTTTAAATGATTTTACATTAGTTAGTCAGTGAGAGGGAGGACACCTTTTCTCGATAATTGTATTAGTTCAAACCCGTCAATCAAACAATTTTCTTTGTGACTAAATCTGTCATATAGTTTCCAAGATTGAAATTTTTTTCTTCACGAGTCCTCAAAATTCACTGTATGATTTCTTTACTCCACCATTTCATTGAACTCGGAACATTGAGGTTTCTTGAATTTTAGTCACTTAGCTCTATTATTATAATATTATATTATTAATTATATAATATTGTAATATTATTATGTTATTATTAATATTATTATATTATTAATTATATAATATTATAATATTATGTTATTATTAAAATTATTATATTCACTGTATGATTATCAAAATTCACTGTATGATTTCTTTTCCCCACCATTTCATTGAACTCGGAACATTGAAGTTTCTTGAATTTTAGTCACTTAGCTCTATTATTATAATATTATATTATTAATTATATAATATTGTAATATTATTATGTTATTATTAATATTATTATATTATTAATTATATAATATTATAATATTATGTTATTATTAAAATTATTATATTCACTGTATGATTATCAAAATTCACTGTATGATTTCTTTTCCCCACCATTTCATTGAACTCGGAACATTGAGGTTTCTTGAATTTTAGTCACTTAGCTCTATTATTATATTATTATAATATTATATTATTAATTATATAATGTTGTAATATTATTATGTTATTATTAATATTATTATATTATTAATTATATAATAGTATAGTATCATTATAATATTATAACTCAGAGTTCAATAAAATAATGGAGAAAAATCGTATTACCAGTTTCAAGAGGAGAATTCAATCTTGAAAATGGTCGTGGATCTAGTTACGAAAGAAATTCTTTAAACTTTTTTCTTTACACACACGTTCGTTTGGCCAGATAGTCGGAGTGATCGGTGAACCGAGAATATCGGGGGTTCGTTGTCGTGTGACAGCGTAGTCAGGGGCGTTAAAGGAACCCTCTGGCGAAAGAAACACGAGAACGCAGGGCGCGTACTTTCTTCCTCGATTTTACGCGTGCAGCCACGCGTTGCAACCCGGCTGAACGATCGTTTCTCATTTACATGGGGTCGAATGTGAGGCAAACTTTCGCTTCGTGGAGTGTGTGTCGTACCTATAGTTGTTCCTATAACCCGTTGTTGTTCAGTTCGTGCATACCTTGTCTAGGAATTTAATCACGTTTTCGCTGGCAACTGATTGCGGACCATAACGAGTGACCCAACCGTATACGATAAATTCGTCGCTTTCTTTTCGAACTCGTCGATATGATATTACTGGATAGATATTATTGAGAGGTAATAGATTTTATTATTTGTTTCGCCTATTTTGTTTTACTTAAATACTTAAATACTAGATACTTAAATACCAGACACTAGATACTTAAGTACTAGATACTTATATACTATTTACTTAAATATTAAGTACTTAAATACTATTTACCTAAGTACTAAGTATTTAAATACTAAATATTTAAATATTAAGTACTTAAATACCATTCACTTAAATACTAAGCACTTAAATACTATTTACTTAAATACTAGATACTTAAATACTAAGTACTTAAGTACTATTTACTTAAATACTAAATATTTAAGTATTAAGTACTTAAATACTAAGTACTTAAGTACTATTTACTTAAACACTAAATACTTAATTATTAAGTACTTAAATTACCAAATACACTAACTACACTAAGTATTTAATTACTAAATACTAAATACTTAAATACCAAATATTAAATACTTAAATACTAAATACTTAAATATTTAAAACTGAGGAAGTGTTACAATTTTGGGACAAAAAAAATTTTCCAACGTGCGTGGCACATCAAATCCAGCGCCAAATGTCAAGGTTTAACGGCCCCTTCGGTTATCCTTATCTGTAGACTCGAAATAAAGAGGAGGAAGTGACGAAAAACGGTGGGGATCCGAAGAATCAATCCTGGATAAACCTCGTGAAATCGAGTCAGTCGATTTTGGATCACGGATAGTGGCCCAGACGAATGATTTTGTTGAATGGTTGCCAGGCTAGGTGAGCTCGGAAGGCCCAGGAAGGTTCTCTGTTTACCACGTTCAAATCAATTGGCCGCGACTTCGCGAGAGTGTCTCTTCTCGCCGTGCTCTTCGTGTTTGCGTAACAGGTGGTGGTATCGAAAACCTCGAGGAGAAGTGACGACGCAGAAGATCGTTATGTGCTTTTTCCTTTCGTACGCCACTCGAGAAATTGCTCGATGAACGATTGCGCTCGATATACTATACTCGCGAAACTTTATCTCTTTCTCAGCATGGCCAATCGTGATGGGGGGAAAAAAGGGGTTCGCTTCGGAAATAGCATGAATATGGATCGATGAGTTTTTCGCGACATACACGCAAGTGTGGTCTCGTGGCGTCATAAGGCGTAATGTCAAAGGTTCCCACGAATGAGTCATAATAAAGCACGTTTGCACGGTTCGTTTCCGTGATAACTGAAGGAAATGGTTCTTCGATTATTCTCGAGAAGATCGACAGAATGATTTTTGAGACGATACTCAGACTTGTCAGAGATTTTCGTTTGAAATTTTTCGTTGCACGATTCTTCTTTTCTCTTTCGCTCTCTTCAGAGACATTTCACAGTGTTCGATACACGTACGAAACGATTCGCGACAGAAGAAGAAAATAATGGCCTCTCTGA